GGTGGTGGTGTATCAGATGGAGTAGGATAAGGACCCATGATCTTTCTTCCTTGGTGGTATCCTAGTTGGTCTGGTTCTTCTTGATTGTCCTGAGGAGTATCTTCAATGGTTTCATCCTCATAGAATGACTGAGTCTCTTGTTCATCTGATGGGGGAGATGGAAGTTCTATACTCTTCACCTATCTGGCAATCTCCTCAGTGGTGCTGTGCATAAGGTTGTCCATGATTTCTTCTTCCTTGCCATTGAATACAGTGTGCTCATCAAACACAATATCTCTGGTGCTGATGATCTTTCCCAGAGTTGGTATCCAGATCCTGAAGATGTTGGAGGACTGGTACCCAACCAAGTATCCAATCCATGACTTGGGATCTAGCCTCTGTAGTCTTGACTTTTCTCTGTGGGTATCATCAGAGAGGGCAAATGCCTTGCATCCATAGGCCTTGAGGTGAGAGAGGTCTGGCTTCCTGGACAGAGTTGGGATTCTATTTTGGAGAGCCACTGGTGTGAAGAACTTCTCATATGGGGTTTTCCATCCATTGGAGTAGAGTGAGGTCCTATTGAGGAGATAGACAGCTGCCCTGACTATCTCTGGCCAAAGGTTGAAAGGTAGATTGGCATCCAATCTGATTGCTCTTGACTTTTCCTTCACTGATCCCCCTGGTCTCTCTGCTCCTCCATTCTGGGCCTGTGTGTCTGGGACAGATGGTTCAACCTTGATTCCTAGTCCCAACAGCCACCGGTACACTTCTTGCTTGACTGTGACAATCTCATTGTCTATCTCAATGACCTTGACTATGATGTTGAATTGCTTCTTAAGGAATGAGATGAGGATTCCCAGTTGCTTGATGATTGACTTGGCTGGCCTGTTGTCCTTGAAGTAGAAGTCCCATGAGTATCTTGAGTTCCTGCAGGTGATCAGCATTTGACTCTTCTTCTTGGTGATGCTTCTTTCCTCATATTCATGAAAGTCCACAGCAAGTCTCTCTCCTGGTCCTTCATCATTGACTCTTGGGATCTTCCTGATTCTTCTCTTGCCTTTGGCCCTTCCATATACATTGCACTGAACAGTGGTGATTCCTTTGATCTTCACCCCCTCAGCTTGCTGGACAAGGTGTTCTACTGCTGCTGGTCCTGGGTGTCCTAATCTCTTGTGCTATAATATAGCATCTGCTTTCTGTGGTGATCTCTTGATCCTGGACTTGATCCTTTGATTGTGGAAGGTAGATTGGGATGGATCATGGTGCTGGATGATCCATTGATTGTGTCTGTCCTTGAGGTAGGTGATTGGGGTGTTGTCCATGAGCCTGAGGAGAGTAGGATCACTCTTGTTATCCCATCATATTCCTTACAGCCTGAGTTGTCTAAATGAGACCAGATTGTACATAATATCTGGGCACAGGGCCACATTGGTGAGGTGAAGTTTGGTAGGCCCATTGGGTCCTGTGAGGTGAAGGATCAGTGAACCATAGCCTTGGATCCATACCTTTGAGTTGCCAGCCCAGATGCAGTCACCTGGCATTGGATCACGGATACACTGGAGTTGTCCTCTATCATTTGTGATATGACAAGTAGAACCTGAGTCCAAGATGAAACAGTATCTCAATGGGTAGTCAGAGAACTCTGCTCTGAATGATGCCATCACAAATGCAGCATTGATTGCTGATATCTTCCGGCCTTCAAGTCATTCCTTCCATGCCTCAGGTTTGGGTGTTTGTTCCTCTCTGAACCTGGGTGTCTTGAAAGACCTGGTATTCCTTAGTCCTCTTACCATCCCTTGTAGATCAGCATCAGATGAAAGTGCCAGTTGTACCATCTTAGCTATCCAAGGTCTGGGATTGAAGCCCACGGGAGCCTTCTTTGGAAATGCATAGAAGCAATCCTTGAGTGAATGGGGTTGATCACAAGCAGGGCATCTGCTCCCAGCTGCCACTGGTACTCCATATCTTCCATGTTTGAGCTGCTTAGGTATGGCTTCAAGACTTTGTCTTTCTTCACCAACTCTGTGCCCTTGGTACCTCTTCGGTCTCCCAAAGGACTTTGGCTTCAGGGTCTTCCCTTTCATCACCATAGTTTCAGGGTCTTCCCCTTCTTCACCTTGATGTGGAGTATCAGCAGCATAAACAGCATCCTGTCTGCTGCCCTGGATGGGCACGCCATGCTCAGAAGGGGCAGGTGAGGTGTCATCAGTGAAGAACGCTCCACTGTGGCTTTTGTTCTTCACTGGGTATTCAGCTTCTATGTATATTTTGAACTCTTTCATCATTTATCTCCTAGACATCCTTGGATTCTGGAGTTCTCTTCTAAACTGTGATGTCCAGATTGGTGCAACTTTCTGCACTGCAGCCAGGAAGTCCTTGACTACATCATGAATTCTCAGAGTTTCAGAGACCCCTTCAGCTTCAGCTTCAGTGGCAGCCTCATCATACTCTACAAGCCAACCTTCTCATGAGGTGGCATATCTCATAGGTCTCAGAGCCACCAGATAATGGTCCCTGGCCTTGTCTCTTTCTACATCATCCTTAATTCCAACAGTGGTTCTGAGGAGTCTGATTTGCTCTCTTAGTTGGGTACCAAAGCGGCAACATGTCTTCTGCAGATGCTTGGAGACAGTGGATTGGATGTGTTTGACCAAATCTTTGTGACTTGCTTGTTCTCTCTCCCACTCCCTCCGTTCTTCCTTGTATGCCTCCATCTCCATCTTCCAGTTTTCCAAGTCATCCTTGTATGCCTTGAGGCCTGAAGTTGATAGGTCTGACAGGAGTCTGGATAGAATGTGGTCGATTGTTTCATTGTTCATGGAGGTAGCTTGGATGGATTGTTGGGTGCAGCTTCTGGTGCTCATGGTGTTAGAAGAAGTAGTCTCAATAGTGGGGATAGCTGGAAGTGCAGGCTCATAGTCTGAGACTTGAGGCTTGAGTGGAGTAGTAGGTCTTTCCATAAACTTCTTGAATCCATCAGGATCAATCATGTCCCAGATGTCCGATGCATCTGCCTTGGATTATAGTTGGGTGAACCAGGAGGTCCAGTCCTTGCTGGTAGCCAGAGTGGCTTGAGTTTGGTTGTTGATCGTGTTGGTAGACATGTTGGTAAAGGTAGTGAGACTCTTAATTGTCAGATTTGATGATATCTGAAGATGTCACAGTGACAGAAAGATTGAATAAGGATAGATTGACTGATTGTATTCTGGTGTGTGTGTGTGTATGTAAGGCTGGGGCCTGACACCGGTTTTGATGTTCTTTCTCTGGGCACCAAGGCTGCACAGAGCACTAGCCACTGCAGAATCACTAGCCATATATCCTCAGACAGTACCAGTACAGACACCTTCTCTCAGTCCTCCTCTCCAGTCCCAGATGAGATGTCCATAAACTGGCTTACTATCTGATATCTATATTGTCGA